ACCTCCCACACAGTTCAAAAACATGTTGAGGTTGATTGGTGATTCTAAATTCTCTGTAGGTGTGAATGTGAGTGTGCTTGGTTGTCTGTCTCTAAGTGTAGCCCTGTGATAGACTGGTTACCTGTCCAGGTGAACCTGCCTTCACCCTGAGTCAGCTGGGATAGGCTCCAGCCCCCCATAGTGAGGATTAAGGTGTAGAGATGATGGATGGATGGAATTCTTACTGATCACTAACCAGAGAACAGGATGAAAATGAAAATCACACTAAAGTGGATGTTGCGCTTAAATCTTTTAGTTCAACAACACATAGCTTGTGTTCCAGTGACAAATTACATTTTGTTGAACTCAAGTTTTGCGTTTGTTGAGTATTAATCCTCAAACTTGGATGTTTGAAGTTCAATATGCAGTATGATGATTGTCTACTCACATGAAATCTGACTTCAAGTTGTGTACTTATAAAAGTCAGTCTGTTGTCAGTCTCTGTTAAATATGCAACTTACATAAACTGTTAACCTAAAATCTTCTGCAAACACTGAGAACAGATGTTAACACTGAAGGACACCACTTAAAAGATGCTGTCAAACTTTTGAAATCAACATTTTCATGCACAGAGTCAGATTTTTTTCACTAAGAGAGTGAAGAAATAAGCAAGAAGTACACTCCAGAATCCCTAAAACTATGAACATGTCAAAGGGGAAATTTTATTACTTAAAGCTATCTGAACACTTGATTTTTTATTTTATTTTTTTTTACATGCTTTGATGTACACGACTGTCCCACAAAAGAGGAGACTTCCAAAATGAAACTGATTGTGGATGATAGAGAGAAAAGTGCAAGAATATATATAATTTTATTTATTTATTTTTTTTTAATGAACCATTTTGCATAATGAATACTTCTACTTTTGATTCTAATACTTTTACTTGAGTACAGGATCTGAGTGTTGCAATGGACCACTCAGAGGAGTGGGATTATCAGCTACTGTCCTTGCCTCCAAAGTCTCAAAAGAGCAAGTGAGTGCTGAGCAGTTGCAGGCACGTATAGTCAACTGAGCTCATGCTCGCCACAGCCCCATGTTTGCAGGATCCTAAGTGTGCATATGTGTCCTGGATATTGGTTTTCACATGTATAGGTTTAGAGACTAATTAAATGGTATCAAGTTTGAGGCAGTAATAAATACCTGGAACTCCCAACCACTCAGTTAGAGCGAGGAAACTTCTTGGGTAAGAGGTGAAATGTCTTCAAGAAGTCCAGTTACCTTTTTCTGAAGCATGGGCTATGCATAGACATGATTATAGGCAACTACCTCATACATCCCCACTTTAAAGAAACTGAGCTATCCCTTTAAGTCGTTAAATAAAACTTTACAAATGGTGTACAGTAACTAAAAAGACAAACTATCAGCAGTAGGTGCAGCTCCTGGACTAACCTGCAATTTACATTGTTTGTTCCAGATATCTAATATACACATTACACATACATGGGAACAATAATAGCATGTTAGAAAAAACTGTTGTGATACTATATCATGTATAAAATTTAATATAAAACGAAAGTAATTACGCATAATGCATACCTGTATTTTTCCATGGTTGTGTATGTTGTAGTGTACATATCTGTACAGCAAAGCAATCAGTAAATGTTTTCTGCCTTTATAATTATACAGAAAATAAAGGAAAATCTAAGCTACAAACACTTGCTGCAGTGTGAGAATATGTTATATTTTGGCGTAAACAGGTCTGAAAACACTGCGCACCCTGTTTGCCTCTCAGATGAAGGTGGGTGTAATGGTGAGGAATTTAGTCTGTGTTTTTGAGATGAGGAAATGACACCCAAATATGACATTCCACTTTGTGAAGAAGGTGTGGGAAGGACAGCACTGGAAAATAAATGCCGTCTTTGAGAGAAATTATTTCAAGAAATTCACCAGTGCCCCCTCTCACTCTGCAACGCAGCTATAAACATGAGCACATGACCTGAGCAGAGTACAAAATACAGTCGTGACTTGATAATCCGACACTAAATGTAAAACCTTTTTTTATGTCAGATAACAAGGTTGTCGGCTCATCAAGACAGAGGTTGAGATACAAGGAGTGCATGATGCTTGAAGGGTAGTTTGTTGTTAATATTTATTGTTTATAGTCGTTATTATAAACTATCTACGTACATGATATTGTTAGGATTTATATGTTGATTAGTTGATTGTCACAGAATAAGTGTCTTTTATAAACTGTACCAATCTGTCCTGGGAACATTTCGGATGTTGTAGTTTGTACTGACACAGAGCTTTTGCACTGCTACTGTTATCTCTGTCCGTTTTTTTTATCTCTTTTCCGTCAGTCGCTCCATGACAGTGCATGACGTTATCTGTGACTTCTTGAACACTGGGGAAAACTTGGTAGATGCAGTTTTACATATGTCTGGCGTGTAACAGTATCGAAGCAATTTGTTTCTATGATTGGTACACCTGATACAACCGTAGTTTATATAGGTTCATAGAATTGTTCAGGTGTCAAAACATGTCACATTGTTTAGTACTTCAAAGAACTTCAAAACACCAAACCTATCCTTCCTGTGTTCCACACATGTAGAGTTCTTCACTAACAAACTGATGCAAACCAACTTAATTAGTTGGTCAAACTCACTCAATGACTTGGACTACTGTATTGTTAGAACACTACGCATCACTGGATTTTACGCCTAACTGACCGGTGCGCTTATCAAAGGTAAATAAATCTGTCAGATTGTTAAGTCAGATCATACACCATTATCCTTATTTGTGACATAAAATGTCATGTCGGAGTCGGAATCCAAGGCTGTCGGTATGTTAAGGCTATTTTTATGGGTTCCGTTCATTTTTATCTTAAAACCTGGCGGATAGCAAGGTTTTCAGATTGTTAAGAGTCGGAATGTCAAGTCACAACTGTACTGGTATTTTTGTCCTTTATGCATTATAACAGTTCTATGGCTAAGGTTCTGACGCTACATATTCCACACTGAGGTTTTTGTGTCTTTCAATGCTCAAATGTTGTCTTTAAAGTGAACTTGTGCAACAGCAAAGTAAGAGAAGGAAGGAATGTAAACTCACATAGAGAACCAGCTCTGTCCCAAAGCCTCATGGGATATGTAGTATTGTCAGGAGCTGTCTGAGACGAGGAAACGCTCCCTCTGATCAGGAACTATGAATCCTTCCTTCTGTTCGCTCTCTCTTCTGTCAGAGATGACAAAAGACTGTTTTGGGTCGATGACCACCGAGCCTTCTTTGTCCTGACCAGGAGCCTCCACCTCAGTGTATGAAGGCCGACCGGAGCCCCGTCTGAACTTCATGATTGGCCAGCGGGTTGGGCGTCGCTGTGGGGGATAAGAGACAAACTCATTTTCTTTTCTGAGTGGCGTTGGAGAAAATGAAGTTTTTCTCCAGTTTCCTACCAAACAACAGACACTCATAAAGATCATAAATATATTCATTTAACATTTTATATTCACCTAATGCAATCCAATACAGTTTCCTGTTACCACTCAATAGAAGTGGTATTAGTGTAATGAAAAGTCAATTTTTAATCACTGCGCATCAGTAACATATACACAAATCTAAATCTCAACAAATTTTATCCTTGGGGAAATTTAGGTTTCATCTTCTTTTACCTCCAGCTTGTTTTTATTTTTGATTAACTCAAACCTCTATTTTACTTATTTTGTCTTTTAATATTCTTATTGTCATTATTAGCTAAAGGTTTTAATTTGTGTGCGTTTCATTTCCTCACATGGTTATAGTGGGAATTAAGCCTACATACCGCAGTGTACTCCGGATATAAATAAAGGTTGAATGAATAAGGGGAGAAAATGATTTTGGTGCCGCTTTAAAAAATGTCAGAGAATCATCAAATTCATTAAAATGAATCCTCTGGAAATGATGACTAACTGCTGCAAATGTCAAGCAAATATGGCCTTCAATTTGTATAACAGTTTGTGATGGATCATGTCATGATGATTAACGGGAACCAATGATTTTACGATAGTGTGAGATTAAATAACGGGAACAATAAACAAACGCTGTCCAAGGTATCTGTAGTTTTCAGCATATGTTGCTCTCGACTGTGTTGGAAGGTTCTTTTTGTTAGTTTTTTTTACTTTTCACTGCTCGAAAGGCAAAAAAATCTAACAAAATGTTGACTGTCGGTTTACTTGTCTTGAAGAATTAGATGGAAAGCCCAAATTAAATGGTATATGTTGGTAAATGTTAAGCAAATAAATATAATACAACCCTACCAGCACGGTACATTCAGGGGAGTATATTATGGAAAACTTCAACAGGTTGCGGTACACTCACCTCTATGAAGAAAAGACTGGCGCTGGAGGTGGGGTAGTTGTACATGTAGATGGACATAAGGATAGCTGCTGCCATGACGACCATCACCACAACAATGCCTGCCAGAAGACCAGTCTGCAGCCCCTCATCACGCTCCCCTGCATCCTTGTCTGCTGCTGTACAAAGGTCACACAGAGACTGACATTATCATCAACTTCATGCCTGTGACAGCAAAATTCTTTAAATGGCGCCGTAATCACATAACAAATTTAGTCAGTGGGATTACAGATGTAAATATGAATTAAAGTGTGTGACCATGAATGACTTACGTGCTTCATTGATGTGCAAAGAGATTGTGTTGTCATCTAGAAAAGAAAAACAATGACATGACATACTATTTAAAATAAAAAAAGGGACTATGGTCAATGTCCAATAAAGCCTTTTTTAAAAGGTATTTTTTAGATTTACGTTTTGAAGTTCTTACTGAAGAACTATAGCACACTTGTCTTCAGGTGAAATGTCATGAAGCTAGAATATGCAGAAAATCCCAAAATGTTCTAGTTTTTTTTCAGGAATTCATTTTTATTTCTATAAGATTTTTTAAAAATACTGCCACTTACAAAGTTGAACTGTGCTTTTGTTTGAATTGGGCGTTGTATTCCTTTCAGCTTTCAGACAGTAGCCATTGCAGCCAAAAATAACAGCCCTCCCATATTCTTTCCCGACCACAGTGATGCACATACATCAGGTCTTCCTTCAGCAGCTGAGGACACTATGCAGTATTTAACATAGCGCTGTATACGCTCAGCTATGAGCTAACAGTGGGCTGGGAAATAGCTGACCACTTGACCCTCATACTGTCAGACCTTACAGAATGCACCAGGCGTGGATACTGTGCAACAACAACAAACATTAATTCATGAGGTTGCAACGATGCCTGCCCTGCCCTGAGCTGTGATCCGTGCTAACTCACTTATCAGCAAACAACATGAAACTCAATAATGCCATCAAAAAAGGGAATTCTATAAAAGGTATCGCTGTCTTAGAAATCAGTAGGCCTATATCTGCAAATACTGTAGCTTTAAAATCATAAAACATCCATCCATCCATTATCTATACAACGCTTAATCCTCACTAGGGTCATGGGGGGCTGGAGTCTATCCGGGCTGACTTAGGGCGACAGCAGGGGACACCCTGGACAGGTCACCAGTCTATCACAGGGCTACACTTAGAGACAGACAACCAAGCACACTCACATTCACACCTACAGACAATTTAGAATCACCAATCAACCTCAACATGTTTTTGGACTGTGTGGGAGGAAGCCGGAGAACCCGGAAAGAACCCACGCTGCACGGGGAGAACATGCAAACTCCACGCAGAAGGATCCCGGGTGTCCTCACCGGGACACGAACCGGCGACCTAGCTGCAAAGGCGATGGTGCTAACCACCGATCCACCTTGCAGCCCATCATAAAACATACTTATTATAAATATATACAGAACATTTAGGATTTCTACATGTGAAAAGTATTTGACTTTACCATTTGTAGATTTGCTGGTTGGAGGCTGGGGGCTCAATATTGTTTTTCTGCTGTTGCTGCTATGTGTCAGGGGGTTGGTGACAGCGGTCGCTTTGCTGAGGGGCGTGGAGGTCATGCCAGAGGTCCTCTGCTGCTCTGAGGTCACTGTACCAGGAGTGGTTGTGTGTGTCGGGTGCTGCGATGTGTTGTTTGTGACTTCAAGTGTCCGCAGACATCGAAAATCCCGTCTCTGACAAACAAAAATCAGTAAACTCTTGCTATTAGGTGACAAAAATACTGTTAAGTTGTAATTCTGTTATACTTTCTGTAGTTTACGGAAATGCAAAAAATAAGGGAAACCTCCTCTGGGCAGCCAAGATCAACCCAGTCCTGCCGGTTACGATCAAAGCCACTGGAACATCTGAGAAAGGAAGTGATTATTATTATTATTATTATTATTGTCACAGCTTAATTTCCACAACCTACTGTATGTAAGGTGCTGAAAGTATCCACAAATGGTAACTGTCAAGCTGACAGCTGAGGATATTTTCATAAATAAGATAAAACTGATCAGAATGAAGATGTGGACAACATTTACAACATAGTTTAAATACAGTCTATACATGAACAAAATGCTCTCCTAGTCCCAGCTTGCCTCAAAAACATACAACCTAATATGAGGACATTAACTGTCACAGATGTCTTTCTCATTGTTGCCCGTTGCTAAACCCCCACAAAGCTCCCTGATTGCCAACACCGTCTGTCATGCGAGTGACTACCTCCTTGAGTTGCTACAGTAATAAACAGTCAGACTGGTGCAAGCAGGTACTACAGGTACTTCTTGTACAATACTTGAAGTGACTCAGATTGGGGAAAATGATTGATTGACACCTTGATTTAATGTTACTCCAGGTTACTTGGATGCTGTAATTTTGGACTACAGTGACAAATCATAATCAAATGTAAAAGTAAGACGAGGATACAGGATACACAAATTCTTCATACTAAAGCTGCGGTGAGCCAAGAATGTCTGTCTGCGTTTTAGATATAAAGATATTCCATTTCTAAAGACTTTCTATTATTAATACATATTTGCAGGAATGTGCATCCTTCTTACTGGCATGCTCTCTCTGAGTGCTGTTCCAGTTTACCTTTGTAGCCTACTGCACCAACTGCAGTTAAAGCCAATCTGAGACGTGACACATGGGCCACAGCTGGAGAACTGCAGACATGCTGAGAATAAAGAAAACAGTGAGAGTGAGGCGGAAGAAACGGCTATTCCTTCTGTAAATACAACTGGAATGCATTTTTACTGAATGCCCCGCAGTGCAGAGTGAGCACACAACTGCTGCCGTTAACAGATTGCTATTAGAAAGCTTTTCTCTTTCTGTATCCATATTTAAATAACTTACTAGGGAGAGGAAGCATCTCCACAGCTGTAGAATTGGAGATTTTCCACTTGACGATGTCAACTTTGTGATACTCATAGATGGTTCTTCGGCGAACATCTAAAGCGAGTCAGAAAGGATACGATGTTGTGAAATACTGGTGGAAAGTAAGCTGCTAACAATGTAGTGAAGTTTTTCAGAACAAATCTGCCACTCACTGGGAATCTGCTCTATGTCATGAAGCACCACAAAAGCATCTGACAGGCCCACTTTGACAGGATGATTCTCAGAGCTGATGTTGCTGATGTTGATGGGAATCTACGAAATGGAAAAAGTTCAATAAGTAAATGTATTTCACAGTAAAAGCAAAACATGAAGAAGAAAAGAAAGATCACCTCTCTGTAGGCAAACACGATCCGTCCGTCGCTGTGCAGAACTGCCTGAAATGTGAACGTTCCCAGACTGATGTTGTCCTGGAGATGAACGTGGTCCCACTGAACCACCAGTGCAGTGCCTAAAGGGGGGACATGAACATTCACAGTGCATATTAAAAGTTTGTCTTTTTAGTAAGAGTAATCTGTAGCATCCCACAAACAAAATGCAACAATTACTAATAGTGCCGTAAACTTATTGTGATAAGAACAACAGGAAATCTCTCCTACCATTATCACAGTAAAACACAGTAGAGTTTTTGGACATGCTGGGGTCAAAATTCGCCATCAGCGGAGCGATATACTGAGTCGCTGTGAGCATTCGATGGATTATATCTCCAGTGTAAATGAAACCTGGCAGAAGATGACATGCAAAGGTTGCCATCAGTAATTTGCAATGTGGGCACAAATTCATAAGTTGATATATTTCAGTCAGTCATGACATCAGCATTGCGAGTTTCTGTTGAACATTTTTGAGAATGCACAGAATGTTGCCCATATTACACGACAAAATACAACCAATGCAGCTCCGTGTCAGCACAGCAACTATTACTTTAGATCTACATTGCCCAAACACACTGTCAGATGCATTAGAAAAGAATTAACTGTAAAACCTTTTCAGATTTTTCAGATTTCCTCTGTGAGTTAACTGATTATAGTTCAAATTACAGTTTATATGTAATTAAATGTATTTTATACCAAGCAAGCGACAGAAAAACATGTCTTCTGTTTGCATAAAACTACGAATTCATCAACCGACAGGCTCAGAAATCACCGTTAGGATGAACTGTACCTCTGCAGGGGGATTCTGGTCTGAGCAGGACGTCACAGAAACACACTGAGTTATTAAAATGTTATTAATTATGACAGGGCAGCCTATTAAGATGTGATTTGTGCTTTCCCCCCCATATTTTAACCTCAATTTTACCTGAATTCTCAAGCAAATTATCATATCTGTCTTACATTTTTATATTTTTGCTACTAATCCGGTACTTATAGAAACTTGTCATTTTGGTTGTAATTTGAATTATGTATTCTGATTTTTGATTGTGACATTGTACATCCAGATTGTGAGTCTTTTTTTTTTTTCCTTTTGTTAAACTAATATTCCGCATGTTGTCTCTACTTTTAATCTCCTCACACCTAAATTCCAGTTGAAATAATGGTCTCACAACTTTTAACATTTTCCTCAGCATTCCTCCTGGGAACTGTCTCAGGAAATTAGGGGGGGGGGTGTTACCATTTTATCTTCCAACATGAAGGTCTAAATGCTACTGCAAACCTCTCCAGGAGTGAAGCAGACTGAAATTAAATTTTTGTGTTGAAGTAATCTTTTATTTATGTTGTTAGGCTAAATATGTAGTCAGCCTAAAACACACAAGTTCAGCTCACATCACTGTTTTCTAAGTACACTGTATGTGTACCGATGGATAAATTAAAGGAAAAACCTGAAGTAGAGACTTGAGAATCTGTGCCAAGGTACATTAAAGCTGTTCTGGGGGCACATGGTGGCCCAACTAAGACACTTTATGATGGTTTTTCCTTCAATATGGTAACCGTCTGTAGCTCAACAACTCAAAACATTTCTGAACAGTGAGAGTCTCATGATACCTGAGCTCAACCCTGGAACAGAAAAAAAACACAGTGTGGTTCACAGTAACTCACCTCCAGTTGCAACTGTGATTTCTTTGAGTAAATGGCCATAGAAAGGAAAGTCAAAGGAAAGATTCACTCTCTGTAACACAGAAACATGAATTGCAACATCAACTATACAATAAAAGATGGTCAGCAACGTGAAAAACATTTTTTTTAGAATCTTTCACTACATTATAGTTAACTGTATGTTGAGCAGTACACACTATGCAGAGCAGGAAAACTTAACAAATAATATACACATAGACACTTTTTAATAAGATGTATAAGCAATCTGGACATCAGAACCATTATAACTACATTAGTTATTAAATTTGCATGAAACACTGATTGTCACATTTATTCAGACAGGCTTCTTTCCTACCTCTGCTTGTCTGTGAGTGTTGGACAGAAAGCCGTGCACCTTCCACTCGTCCTCCTCCATGTCGTCAATGTTCACCCACAGCTCTTTACCAGCTGGGTCCCCAGGACCGTAGATTTTAGATGTGTAGTAGACATGATCAATATCCTACAACATCATAGAAGAATATTATGTCCCCATTTGTTTGTAATCGTGTTTGCTTCTTCTCCACATGTAAGTTTTTAACAGTAAATGCAAAAATTATAAGCTATAAAAATATATTTGCATTATATTATACAAATGTCTTTTCTTGTACCTCCAGATGACCTTTAGCATTAATTCAAAATATAAAGCAAAACACCTAACAGAGATTTTACAACTTAAAAAGCATCTTGTTTAAAGACAACATCATTAATTAATAAAGCTTGATTTTTGCTTTTGATTTTATCTCCCACGTTTTTTCATCATCTCAGAAACCTCTCCTCGCTGTAGAATAGCCTTACTACAATCTGTGTAGAATTATTGTGTCCTTCCTCCATCAGCAGGTCGGGCTCTGACTCCTCAGGCTGGTGCCGGTCTCTGTAGTGGCCCCTCGTATCTGCAGCCCAGCCAGGGGCCCCAGACCTGGGCCCAGATGTCCAGCTCCGCTCTCTGGGCTGGCGGTTCTCTGTGACTACGTGCGACTGCATGTCAGTATGGGGAACACCTTAAGAATCAAAGATGAGGGAGAAAAGTTGACATTGTGATCATATTCATTGTGTCTTTTAAACCATTTAAGAAGACATTAATGTGGTAAAAATGTTACAAAATACCACAGATGTGAGCAGATGCTTGCACAAATAGGTAATATTATAGCAGTTTTCAATAGTTAAAGGTAAAAAAAAGTGCATGAACGTAACTTCTGTTGTCTTAAACTTGACAAAACTCAAAGCAGACAACAAATTACTACAAAATTAAACATCAAAATAAAAAATAAGTGTTTTGAATACAACAACAACAAACAGTAAAATAAGGAGGGAACAAAAGCCTACACTTATTTAGAGAACATGTCCTAAAAGATCCTAAACAGTACATTAACTAAACACTCAGATCATCACATGAGTAGAAACTACCAGAAGGACAAACACGAAGCATCCCAAGACTATTCAGCTTCTACAAACTGAAAAAAATCTAAGATATTTTTCATAATTTTTTGGTATCTTTATAGGCTAAAGTACCACTTAAGAAGCAGGGAGTACAAACATAGCATCATTGGTATTTCACTCGGTACAGCTAGAAAAACCCATTGAAGCTTAACAGTCCTGGAACTAATTCCACCTCCACAAAATGTATAATGTTTTTTTTTTTTTAAGTTTGGTTTAATTTCCAGTCATTTTGAGGCTTTAATTTACAGTGCTGCTGAATTATTTTATTGTGGTATACTGAGAGGCATTTTCCGTATTTACCCTGATTCATAAATTACCACAAAGTACAGCTTTCAAAATAATAACAGTTAATGTTGAAATTAAACATCATAACCTTCAATAAGGTATATTTGATTGCTGTTGTATTGGAGTGCATCAGATTCACTCAGGGCATCTACAAAGCTGGTGAATGAGTTGCAGTAAAGAGCTTGAAAAAGCAGGTATAACACTGTCAGTGTGAAGCAATATTATTTTAACAAAATGAAAGCTCTTTATGGGGGAAGCTAGATGTGGACAACATCTGAAACATCGCTACATCAGTTCCCACATCTTCGTCTAAAATGCAACCGCACATAAACAGTCCCTCAGCAGGTGCCATGTGGCAAACATGCGTGGTCTTTCTTCCCCTCCAGTGACAACAGTGTGTCCAGCTCTTCTCTTCACAGTGGAGGGTGAAGGCATGCTTCACATTCTTCACACCAGCAGCTCCAGCACCAGGCATGTGAGGCCGGGCAGCTGTGGGTGTTGTGTCTATATATCTGTCACATGGTGGGCTGCGGTGGCTGCAGAGGTCTCATAACCCTCAACCTGTGTGTATGTGGTGTGACTGATGTAATCGCAGATATCAGGAGATGCTGCGCTCTATGTTTAGTTCAAATGCTCTGTTTGCAGACTGACAAGAGCTGAGTACTCATCAGATGTAGTTCACAGATTCCTTTTTACTTAAAACCACATACTGACAGAAACACGGTCACAGAAAACAGCAGCAACACACAGAGCATCTTCATCACATCTTTATTTAGCCTCCACCAGTGACCTCCAAATGGCTCCTTAGAATTTGTACTTTTCTTTAAATGAACGTGAGCCCAGGTAACAATGAATTTACAATAGCTGCTACCCCCATTGTAGTTCAAATGCTTTGTCATTGATTTTTCACTTGTTGGATGATTAAAAAAAACACGTGACAACAACAAATACATCTGAGAAAATGTTGCACAAATGAAGCATATTTAACCCAAAGATATTAGTAGTGACAAAAACTACCACTAAAACGGATAATTTAGTGCTTGAAGTTTGAAGAAAATTCAAATTAAAGCACATTTATTAGACGACAGCAGCACAGGATGTAATGCTAAAGTTATCAGGTGTGCAGCTAGCTAACTGGTTGTATTGGACAATACTGAGCAAACTGGTCTAGTGCGGATTAAAAGTGATTTTTCTGACTTACCATGAGCAGGTGTAATGTTCATGAAGCTTATTTGAAACTGGACAACAATGACCAGACTTGTAACGACCTTAACCATCTTTTTCATCGCCGCCCTTCCTCCCTTCAGCCTCACAGCGCAAAGAAAGTCGGCAATTGGCGCAATGAACGTTTGCGCCGCTGAGTTCGTATCCTTCAACGTCTCTGTTCGTCAACTTACGAAAAGAAAAGAAAAACAGAAAACTTACAAAAAAAAAAAGAAGAAGAAGAAGAAGAAGTCAAAAGTGTAATTAAGGAAAAAATGTATCCGACCTAAAGTGAGCTATTTACGCAGCCGTAGTGAAGTCTCTCGTTGTGTTACTGTCCATGTTAGACGTTCAGATTGTCCGCAAACCCCGCGTGCGTCACTTCAGGCTGCAGCAGTGAAACGCTGCTGCGCGTGAAGGCAGACAGGACCTGGAGACGATGCATTCAGGTGTCGTCGTAACAATCACAGTTACACACATTGAATGCATTTGCTTGTGACTTTCACGACATTTTCTATTCATGAATTAAAACCAAATTGTTTATACCAAACGATAAATGTCACATGTAGCCAAACGTGCTCAGAAAAAGCTATGAAAACATGACTACGTCTATCCGCAGGCATA